TCCTAGTCTCCCTCAACCTGAGCCTTTGCAACATTCTGACCACGTCAGTCAGTAAGCGTGTTGTCCTCACCACTCAGCACCCCCTGGGCTGCACATCTTTCTTCATGGGTTTCACAGTGGTCCCTTGCCTTTACTGGGAGGTGTAATCTCAGTTCTGTACTAGGCATCACTGGTTAAGGCACCACCCCTAGACTTCACTCCTAACGCGACTCAGTTCGTCCCTTTCAGAGACTATGCTCACATACTTTGGAAGGGGGTGAAGCAAGAGAGGCAGAAGTCTGACCTTCACGCTTTATGCTCTGATGGTGAGAACAAATCAGGCTGGCGTCTTCATACTTGGGGTCGTGAATGATATAGTCAAAGGGCATCTTCTTGAACAGCTCCAGGTCTGGCCAGGAGTCACTGAGCTGCAAATAATGCCAGTCTGGTTCTTCTCTGAGGTCTACAAGGTTGGCAGAAACACAAATGTGTGACCAACTAGGAAGTAAAACTGATTTGCCATCATGCATCGCTTCACAGGATGTGTTCTGAGAAATGCATAAATGATGTTGTCGTGTGCAAACAGCATGCACTGTGTTCACACAAACCTTGACGGACAGCCTACTACACAGAGGCTACGCACCTGTACAGCACATTACTGTACTGAATACTCTACGTCACTGTAACACAGGGTAAGTGTCTGTGTACCTATATAGAAAAGGGATAGTAAGACTACAATATAAAAGATAAATGGTGCACCTGTTTGGGAAACTTATCGTGGATGGAGGTGGCAGGACTGGCAGTTGCTCTGGTGAGTAGTGAGTGAACATGAAAGCCTGGGGCGTTGCTGTGCACTGCTGTGAACTTTACAGACACGAACATGTAGGCTAAAGGTTTTTTAAATTCTTTCTTCAATAGTAAACTGACCTTAGCTTACTTTAGCAACTTCTTATTTTTTTCACTTTTGATTCTTTTGCAGCAAAACGCAGCTTAAAACATCAATAGTAAAGCTGTACAAAAATATTTTATTTATATTCTCATTGTGTAAGCTTTTTTATATTAAAATCCTTTTAACTTTTTAAACTTTTTCTTAAAGACTAAGCTAGGGCACGAGTGCACACATTCACCTAGGCCGGCACAGGGTCAGGGATGTCAGTATCACTGCCTGCCACCTCCACATCTTGGCCGCTGGAAGGGGCAGGAACATGCGTGGAACTGTCATCTCCTAGGATAATAATGCTTTCTTCTAGAAGACCTCCTGAAGGACCTGTTTGTTTACTGTAACTAGAATGTAAGAGTACACTCTAATAAAAAGCATAACATAGTAATACACTGTGCTACCTAAACCAGTAACACAGTCATCTACCAAGTGTCATGTCCTGTGCATAATCGTATGTGCTGGACTTTTATATGACTGACGGCCCAGTAGGTTTGTTTACACCAGCACACCACAAACATGTGAGTAAACAGGTGAAGAAGTTTTCCAGTTTCATCACCATCTTATGGGACCACATCTATATATGTGGTCTGTTGTTGGCCAAGACATCATTACATGGCACATGATCACATTTTAAATGTGCACAAGCATGATGCTTAAGGTGGGGTTGTTATAAAGTCTAGAAGTCACTGGGAAGTCCCACTGTATCTCAGAGGCTTCTGATTCATATTCCATGTTCAGGATTGCTCCAGTGAGGCAAGAAAATGCATCTGGATCTCTGCCCAGAGGACAGCCTCATACTCTGCATGGAAAGGGGATTGCTCTCCTGCCCCCTACGCCAACGCCTGGCCCGACAGCCTAAGCCCTGTGCTTCTTCCCAACAGAGCGGGACCTATGAAGCCTGTGTTGCTTCCTTTCTTGCCTCTGAATATCCAAATGCTCCCCAGCCACTCAGCTCAGCTCCTGTCACTCCATTCTGGAGAGCTGCTCAGGTGTCCTGGCCCCTTGGTATTCCCTTCTGAACACCAACACCAGCCCTGGTGCAAAGACACTTTGACATTTGCCATGTGTCATCACCCACTGTGACGGGTCTGGTCTATGGTGCTCATTGACTGTTCCAAGTCAAATTATGTAACGTATTGATTATATCGCCCGCCCGCCCTCTGTACTGCATACACGGGCAGGGTGCCGTCCACAGCAAGGAGAGGGATGTTTACTGCGTTAATAGGCACACAGTGCTTCACGTGTACGGCATCCAATCCGTACAACATCCTACAGGACAGGAGTCATCTGTGTAATAAAGAGCACAGTGAGGTGATGACAGAGTATTTAAGGGAATGGGCCCTGACATTTAACTGTTGGTTCAAATCCTGTCTCGGAATATCCAAGAAAGCAAGGAGACAGACACAAGAGGCTGCGGCTTTTGTCTGAAATGTGGTTCTGAGCTGTGGGGAAACCACAGAAAACTTGGCTGGGCTGAAGAGCCTCCTCTTTCCCTCAAAGGAACATGGAGGGCTGGAAGGGCTCTGTAGGGTCCCAAAGTTCCCCAAGTCAAACTCAAACACAAGGTGCTGCGTGGACACCAGCACAGCCGGGACCCCTCACACACACTCTCCCCAGATAACAGGTTTGGAGACTGGTCCAAGTTTACCAGCCACTGGGAGGGGTGGGTAAAGAGGGACGGGGTGCCTCCCGGAGAGCACAAACAGGCCATCCACAGAGAGGCTTGCCTGAAGCAGGGTCGATCCTGGACAGGATTTTCCAGGACAAGATTTTCCCCACAGCTCAGTCCTATTTTGCCCCCAGGGTATTGACCTATGTGCCCAGATGCCTGGTAGGAAGCCTTCTGAGGGGGAAGTCTACTTTTCAGGGGCCAAGTCAAATCCAATTTAATTCTGGCTCTGCCACCCCCCTCACCCTGGCCTGACACCTGGGCATATGGTCCATAGGAAAAGGGAATGACAATGTCCTGGTGGGGCACAGAGGCTAAGCGTGGTGATTTATGTAAAATATCCACCTTCCCTGACCTGGGAAGGTACTCAGCAGTCGTTACCTTAGGGCAGTGGTTCTCAACCTTCCAAATGCCTCCTAATGCCGCAACCCTTTAATACAGTCCCTCATTTTGTGATGACCCCCCAACCATAAAATTATTTTCATTGCTACTTCCTAACTGTAATTTTGCTACTGTTATGAATCGTAATGTAAATATCTGATATGCAGGATGTATTTTCATTGTTACAAAGGGGTCTCGGCCCACTGGTTGAGAACCGCTGCCTTAGGCTAAGGGGAAGAGTCTGATTGTGAGTCTCAGAATTCTATCTGGAAAGTGAAAGACACACGGCAGTCACTTGAGAAAGCGATTAAGGGCTTGGACACCCACGTGTCACCGAACAGATAACTCACTGATATTGATCTCCTCTTCATCGTAAACGTCCACCTCTGTCAGCCGGATGAGCATGCGGGACAGGATGCTGAGGAACTGCAGGTAGGCGCCCGTCTTCCCGATCTGTGAACACGCGGAAACGGGAGCCTGCAGTCAGGAATCCCGTCCTGGGGGGTGCAGGCTGAACACCTGCTGTGCCTCAGGCAGTACAGCCCACCTAAGGAGCCCGTCATTGACACAGGAGCCCTGTGGACCCACAGACAAGTAAAGGGAAGCGTGGTCTAAACCAGCCTGCAGGTGGACTCTCCAGAGCTAGAGGCCTGTCTGTTTGTAAACTGCTACATGTGTGTCTCCGGATTTTAACCAGCCATGCTTCTTAAGCTGTTAGAAACAGAACTTTATCCTAAGGTGAGGAAAGTCTGCTTCAAAAATTAAAATGAATTGACAACGTAAAACATAAATGTCTCAAGAGCCTTAAAAATTGCAAACGGCTAGATAATAAAATTCTTTGTACAAGAAATAAAAAGTTGGCATCTCATTTTTGTCCTCCTAAACCCAAGAAAAGAACCACTTTTCTCTTCTTCCTTCTCTCCCTTTCTCTACCACACAGTCCCTTGCTCCCTCAGCCCAGCACCAGGCCAGCGTATTTACTATGAACCTTCCCTCATGTTGGTCACCGTTGAGTAAAGAAGTACCTGTGGGCTAGCCTGGGATGTTCTAGCACCAACTCATAACATAGTTACTCAGGGATGCCCTTTCCAAACACAGAGCCCGATGCCTGAGTTTCCAGCTGGAAACTCAGCAAATGCTGATGAATAAAAAAAACTAACATTAAAGAGGAAAATCTGACATGTAACCAGGGGTACAGAAGAGCGTCAGAAAAAATATTTGCAACATATATAATAAACAAAGGACGAAAATTCATAATGTCTGAAGTTCTCCTACAAAGCAGCAAGAAAAAGCCAAATGGTCTGAAGAAAAAACATTTTCTGCCGCTCCCACGGTGGAATCTTCTCTGACGGCCCAGGCTGGGCAGGTACCGTGTTTCCCTGAAAATAAGACCTACCCCCAAAATAAGCCCTAGCAGGATTTCTATGCATTTGTTAAGCCCTACCCTGATAATAAGACCTAGTGATGGGTGTGGCTAGGCAGTGTATCTGCCTAGCCATGCCATGCATTTCGGCACAGAGAGACATCCCCTGAAAATAAGCCCTAATGTGTCTTCTTGAGAAAAATTAAATATAAGATAGTGTCTTATTTTCAAGCTGGGTGACTACCAGCCAGAAAAATCACTGAAAGAACACTGATGACCAAGAAATACTTTTTAAAAATGTTAAATCTCACTAACAAACCTATAAGGTTACTATTGTTCACCTATCAAAAAATTTTAAAGACTGATGATATCTGATCCCATGTGAGGAGTGATGGAAACGACCTGTTAAGAAACATTTTCTTTCCTTCTCATTTTTTAACAGTTGTCATTTGACAAGTTCAAGAAACTCTGGACACTCGTGCCCTGGAGGTTCTGCCACTTTGAGAGGTAAAAGGACTTTCACAGGTAGGGAACTGCTATGAGCTGGGGAGGGCTGAGAAGGGAAACAGAGCCCCCAACTCCCTGTTACACTCACCAAACCTTCCAAGGCAGAAGGGGGAGGAAGTGTGCACAGCACACAAGGGCCATGTGAGATGGCTGGGAATACATGAAGCAGGTGGAAATGTCCCCTCTGTCCCCTACATCACACAGAGGAGAAATGGAAGTCACCCAGCTCCCACCTGCCCAGCCTGGGCTGTCAGAGAAGATTCCAGCATGGGAGGGGCAGAAAGTGAGCAAGTGGATACAGTCAGCCCGAAGCCTCCCTGTCCTGAGTCTAGGGTTGGCGCTGGGGGCACTCACCTGTGGGGGCCCACTGAGCAACAGCCTGCGGGGGTGGAAGCCGTCCACGCGGCCTTCGGCCCGGTTGCCGTAGTCCATGTGGCTGGGCCGGGGCACTGTCCACTGCCGGTAGTAGAGCGACTGCTCCGTGGATGTCATCGTCTTGCTGAGCAGGGGCCGGAAAGAGCTGGCCCACATGACTGAGTGGGAGGGCAGAAGTGAGGCAGCCTTGGGCAGGCCGCTGCCGTCGGTGGACATGACCATGTCATACACGAGCTTGGGCAGGAAGACGATGGGTGGCTGCCGGCAGGCCTTGGTCATGGAGCACTGGGAGGTCTGCAGTACGAGTGTCCCCGCGGCAGGTGCCACAGACAAAGAGGATGATCCTGAGGAGGAGGACAGCTGGGAGGACGACAAGGTGGCTGACACCTGGACACTCCTCTGGCCGGGCCTGGGCCCGAAGTCAGGCTGGGGGACTAGCCTGGGACTGTGCCTGCTGATGACTGATGGTGTCCCCTGGCCCGCTTGGGGCCTCTGCTTCTCACCAGGGGCCCTGGCCTCCTCTGATGGGCCACAGGGCTGGGGCGACTTGGCCTGCTCCACCAGGGGGGGCCCTGTGGGCTGGGCTGAGGCCTCACCATGGAGCGCTGAGCCTGAGGAGAGATAATCTGATCAGGCACATCCCAGGGGGACCTGGTCCCAAATGTACCAGCCACTCCTGTTTCTGTCCCAGGCTCCCTCTGCTATTTGGGGCAAGCAGGTACTGGTGGCTACAGCATTAGGCTTTTCTGACTGACCCTGAGCCTATGAGTCACAGAGGTCTCGGGCAGGCGAGGGAGGCCCGTGCTGACCTCATCAGAGGCATCTGCGGGGGAGGCCCCACTGCCAGGCTCACCACTCCCGGGCTGTGTGAGGTGAGGGAAAAAGAAAGGCTGCCCCAGACACCCCTGGGCCAAGTCTCCTGCGGCACTCTGACCTCCCGTCTCCCAGACCACAAGGCAGCTGCTCCCCAGCCACAGCCAGGCCCACCCGCAGCCTGGCACTGGACCCCTCCCTATACCTAGGCCCTACACACACTCACGCCCTGGGTCTCTCTGCCCGTGAGGTTTCTTCACCTGAAATACCTTCTCCAAGGCCCAGGCCAGATTAGCTCTTCTCTGAAACCTGTGGTGACCACACCCAACCCCAAATCTGCCCTCCACCTGGGACAAAATTAATTACTTCTTTATACATGGAACTGTGACACTTCACGTGCATGGAAGCCACTGAGAACGAGAAATTCCTTGAGGCCGGGGTCTGTGGTCTCACTGATCTTCCAATGCCCTGATTCAGATCTGAAGTTGGCTTTCAACAAATGCCTCGGGCAGAAATATGGAACATTATTTCAAGAACCCTGGCTCTAAATGCTGGTGGAGACCAAGGGACACCTTGGGGCGTAGACACACGAGGCCTTTTCTCCATTCGCTCTGCCACAGTGCAGTGCCAGGCATAGAGTCACATGCTCTCACTACCTTTTCTTGCTTCTCCCCAACCAAGTTTTTTGTGTCTATGTCCCTCAACAAGAACACCTCACCCTCAGTGCCCCTCCCCAGAGGCAGAGCGATTTCTGGAAGAAACAGCAGCACGGGGAGCCCCGAGGGAGGCCCCCAGCACAGCCAGCACTCTGCCGGCAGCCCAGCCACAGGGAGGAACAGAACCTTCCACCTTCCCCTGAGACCAGGGCAGCTGACCCTTCAGTCCTGCCCAGAGGGTTCAAGTTCTCAGATCCCAAGTTGACCAAAACATTTACTCTCTGGTTCTTCAATGATTCCTTCTTTTTCTAGTTCTGATGGAAAATACAGACTCACATTTCTTCTTCATTCTCAGAGCCCTCAAAAAAAAATTAAAAAACAGTCTGTCCAATCTTTATTCACTCAGGAACGCTTACCAGATGCCTTGGAGGAGAGGGATGAGGACGCAGAATCATGGGAGGAGGACCTCTCCCTTTTCACGGGACTTCTCTTCTCTGAGGTGGAGCCTGTTTCAAAACACGTATGCTGAAGAGGGGTTGTAATTCCCCACCCTCAGTTTGCCAAGCCCTTTACAGTTGGTAACATGCATTCCCATGTTTCATCTCTGCCCTATTCCAAGCACCCAGCATAGGGCACTGAGCAAACAGGTTGTGTCAGCCGGGGAGGCGCAGCTGTAGAGAGTGGACCAGGTAGGGCAGTGGGCCTAGGAGCCCAGAGGCAGGAGCAGGAGAACTGAAGCTGTGGCTTCTGGCCCAGCCACCACTGTGAATTTAGTGTGGGCAAGCCACTGTGTGGCAGGGGCTCGTGGCTGAGAGGTGCAGAAGGTGAGACTAAAGGGAGGATGGTGAGATGCCAGAGGGCATGGAGTCGTGTTGCTGCAACAGAGAAGTGGGAGTATCTTGTGTCGGGGTTGGGCTGGTGTCTCTGAAAAATGGCCATGCAGGCAGGTCACTCCAGTCCCATTTTACAGATAAACAAGCTGAGGCTAGGAAAGGCCCATGGTCAGGACACAGAGGAGGGACCACAGGCCTGAGCTGTGACTACGTCCCTCTCTCTCCACCTGCCGCATTCCACAACTGCTTCATACTTTTTGTATTATTGGCTTTAATTTTTTCTCTCCACACTGTTGACTACGGTCAGATGCCTCACAATGTTCTCATTCATGTGTCCTATTAAAAACATGGTGTCAGATTTTAAGAGTGTGCAAATGAAACTGGCCTGTTTTCACAAATCTCCGTAAAAGTAAATTTCCTACCGAGAAGAAATTCCACCAACAATGAGTAAAGCATGGACTTGAACTATAAGAAATCTCAATTTTTCTTCCTATTATTTAAGAATTCTAGAATGAGGAAGAGCCTACAGGGATTTCTATCTTCTCGCTCCACCAAAAAAGAAGAAGGAGGGAGCAAAATCTGAGTTCATGAAGGCTCTGCCCTCCCCTTCAGCAAAGACCAGGTGACTCTCACACGGAGCAGCAGCCGGGCGGGCAGGCCTAAGCCCCTGCCGAGCTGCCGCTATGAAAACAGCAAGAACCAAGACCAAATGTCCCAGAACCGCCCATACCTAGCACATACACAGTGCCACTTGCTGAAGTGTGCTGTGGCCCAGTGGACAGAACCAGACCCACTGATGGCTGTCTACACAAGTGCAGGTGGCTTTGGAGATTAGAAACCAAGGAAGACGTGCAGGCAGGAACTCCTGGCTGAAGACCAAGCCACCCCTCACCTTCTGTCCCCGGCTCCTCATCCTCATTGTCGGTGCTGCTCAGCTTCTCTGCGTCACTCTCCAAGGCTTCGGTCCTAGCCCCCTTCTCCAAGGGGACCTCGTTGCTCACAAAGTAGGCAGCCAGGCCCAGCTCCTGCTCCAGGGCTGTTCTCACCAAGCAGGAAGAGTTTATCAGACGCAGGTCACAGTACCGCAAAGACCTAGCAGGACACAGAAGGCAGCATTCACCGCGTGCCTTACACAGATGAGGTATGTTTGCAGTGCTGAGGGCAGCGTCACCAGAACCACGTCCGCCTCCCTCACTAGGACCCTGGGACTAGTGTGAGTACAAAAGCCACCAGCTTTGGGCGCACCCACTGTGTTTTTAGTCTTGTGCTACACTGACTTCCAGCTCAGACAAAAGCAGGCCTTGAAGCCCAGCTTGGCCACGTCCTAGTAATAGAAACTTTGACAAGATGCACAACTTCTGAGGCTCCGACTTTTGTTCTCTGAAAGATGGGAATGAATAATGGCCATCTAAGTGCACTGTTGTAAAGATTAAATGCCCTAAGTGGACATTTAATTATTCAATCAACATTATCATGTGCTGGGGTACTAGATGCTGGGATATGATGGCAACTGAGGTGACGCCGATGAGGAATAGCGTCTTTGAGCTGAGGAGGAAGGCAGCACTGGGGTCCACAGCAGAAACACAACCAGAGCACAGGGCTCAGAGGGCATAGGTGTGACCTCCAGCAAGTGACCTTCCATTTTCTCAACTATGAAATAGGATAGTCATACCACTGCTGCCAGGGGTGAGTGCTGTGTTGAAAGACTAGTGTACAGCAGTGCCCAGAACGAGGAAGGTACTCTGTAAATGCTAAAATGTAAGAAGACTAAGGCACTGTCTTAGTGCTCTAAGGAACTGAGGACTAGAAGAATTAATTCCTGTGAAATAGCAACAGCCAAGGTCAAATGTTTTGAACCCTCCCGTACCTGGCCTATGAGCACACAGCATGCTCATGCCCCTTGCTTAAGTCTGATGTGTCCCCATGGAAGGAACTGGACCCACGGTCATCAGGGTACTGGCTTAATCTCAGTAAGCCTCAGTTTCTCCAATCAGTGAGGTGGGACCACTGAAATATTCCCTTTCCCCCAGGGTTAATGTGAGAATAAAATAAGGTGACCAGATTTTAACATTGATAAAGCAGGACACCATTGACCGTGGGGGGTTAGGGGGGTTGAGGTGGATTCTTAATTAAAAATTTGGTCTATATGGAGCAACAAAAATTTTCATAGAACACAAAAATCGTATTGTAATATATATATATATATTTAATTTCAGTGTAAGTACCATTTACAAATATAACACATTAAAAAAAAATTATGTATAGGGTGGCACCTGTGGCTCAAAGGAGTAGGGCACCAGCCCCATATGCTGAAGGTGGCGAGTTCAAAGCCCTGGTCCAAAAAAAAAAAAAATTATGTATAGTATTATTTTATTCATTGGCATATTTCTCATTTGGGTGAATTTTTTTTAGTAGATTGCTGTCATTGTTTAAAAAGTCATGAAATATATTTCACACATAAAATGGCTTTCAAAGTCTCAACACTTAATTGTGATTTTTCTGATGTCCCCACACTTTATTTACTGTAGAAAAAAATACGTTCAGTTGCAGCATTAGTTCCTGGTAAGGACAGCGTGTATCCCACAATTTTTAGTGCATTATTGTATAGAACATGGTTTGTTTCAAAATGATGAAATATTTCTAAACATCTGTTCTCTATTGTGATTTTTGCTGATGCCCAAACCTTTTCCTTATCACTGTATTTTTTTTAATAATGATACCTTGTAAGTCGTAAGTGTCACTTTCAAGGCTGGCGCTAGACTTTTTGCCACCACTATAAAATATAAATAATACGAGTACTGTCTGCTAAATTCATTAAATAAATAAATTACCTACCTAAATTATCTGAATAGCTGATTTGTTGACATCACTTGTTTAACTAGCACTAGCACACAGTACAATGTATATCTCTGAGAGACAGTTACAAAATGTTTTCATGGTTGCCAATGCCAAAAAATGCCATTGTTCATTAAGTCCAAACAATGGTGGTCGAATTCTAACAACTGATCAACAATGCAAACTTGGATAAGCAGTTCTCGATAATCAGTTCTCAGCAATTATTTGTTATTATTAAAGTTTAACATTATAAAATTAACAAAAGTAATATAAAACTCATATCGTGGCAAAATAGCCACATGGCAGTGTTGGGACCAGAATTGCTGCTAAGAGACCACCACACACATGTAAAGACAAACAGTGCTTTATTTTGCAAGCATATGCCTGGGCCACTCTTCTCTTCATCGTGGCTGGAGGAAGGGCGACCCCCTAGTGAAGCAAGCTGAGGTTTTCAAAGCACATAGAGGAATTTCATGGGGTATTCTGTTGGGACGGGCTGCTATTGGCTGAGCTGTTTATGGTTAGGGACCCTTTGAGGGGGGCTACTTGTTTGTTCCAGACAGTTTGGCTCCTTCTGAGCTAATTGTCCTTACCTTGAAGCGGGGGAGAGAGCCAGTTTTCTGATACCAATTCCACCTGGGTGACCTTGCCCAGGAGGGGAGTAGGGAGCTTACATTAGCCTTTTCATTTCCAAATGAAGTTACATTAACCTCTTCATTCCCAAATGGAGTTACATTAACCTTTTCAGCAGCCAAAAAACTGGATATTCCCTTCCCGTTGTCCCGCCATTCCCTAGCTTGTCGTGCATTCTTTCCGAAAATCGGAACTTTTATAAAATGCCGCTGGATGCAGGACAAATTGTTAAAAATCAGAACTGTCCCGCCAAAAGCGAGATGTCTGGTCACCTTAGAATAAAATGGAATAAAGCATATCAGAAGAATCTAGGACAGTGTCCAGCATATAACAAGGACGCAAACCCCATCTGCTCTTAACATTTTGTTGCATAGGACAGTTGCACAAAGCCCCCACAGCAGCCTGCCTACCCTCCCCCACGGTAAGTCTTGGAAAGCCACCTATCACTACTGATCCCAGCAACCTCCTGTCCTGAGTGTCTGCCTGTCTGTGTAGAGACTACCAGGAGACACTGAGTGGACATGTGGCTTGAGATCTCCTAGCGCCCTGAGGGCTTTGGAGGAAAAGAGCTTTTGAGACAGTCCCCTCTTTGAGTTGGAACTAGCTTTCCCCAAGCAACAGCAGAAGTAGTTGTCCCTCTTCCCAGGACACCTCCTAATCCAGGCAGGACCCCACTACAGCAGAGACTGTAGTCCTGATCCCTGGAGGTGATGTAGTACTGTCCTCAATGCAGTTAGCCTCCCCTAACACACATAGTCAGGACACATGGACAGACTGATCCTGGAGACATTAAATCCTAACTGCAGCTGCAGGGCCTCCACCCATGAAGCTGGCAACAATCCCTGGATGGGCCCAAACCGTGTCATTCTGAGAATCAGGCAAAGCTGTTTGGGGCTAAGACCCTTTTCAGTGCTCTCTGCAGGGAAACCCAACCCATAGTGCCTGTGCATAAGAATAGCGCCACCTACCTTCAAGTGGCCATAACCCACCCTGGTACACTTGCCTGCCTGTGGGGCCCAGGCAGCATCCCTCAAAACCCCAATAAGCCCCTCTGCTCACTTAGGCAAGGACTCCCCATGCGGGTCCATCCCACTGAAGATCAGGATGCAAGGCAGTCCCTCCAACTCCAAATATGTCTGAGGCCTCCACTCTGCATCCTCAATTTTCTGCCACATCTGCAAATAATTAAAAATAAAGCCATGAGATCGCTGCTGACTTCCCAGCTCGCCCAGCTCCACATCCTCCCCTGGCTTGAAAGACCTCCGCATCAGTCCTTTGTAAAAGGGAAAGGTTTTTTTTTTTTTGGCAGTTTTTTGGCTGGGGTCGAGTTTGA